AGGGTTTACGGTTTAGGGTTCATGGTAGGGCAGGCCTGCGCCAAGAGTGTAAAGGAGACAGCCCCACCATTGGTACAGGGCGGATGGGAAATTTTGTTGCTGACCTTTCAGGGAGGGCTTCGGTTTTTTCAGGGCTCTTGGGTTAAGCGGTTAAGAGCCTCGCGTTTGTGGCTTTAGGGTTCTGCGGGTGCACTCCGGATAGGAGATCTTTTTGACTACGCCTTGGGCGGTGGTCCATCTACGGTCTGAGAGTTTGGAGCATCTCAGTACAGGAGCTGAAGGCTTAACAAATGGGTGGTTGTCAAAATTATNNCCCAAAAAGGGACCCTAATGTTGAAATGGCATACCATATCCAATAAGGTTTGCATTGTAGGCTTGAGTCCTCAGGATCGAGCCCAATACCCCAGGAAAACTCGTGACACCCTACAAGCCTACAACCCTAAATCCTACAACGCTAAAGCCCTAAACCCTACAACCCTAAAACCAAAAAGCCTACAACCCTAAGCCGTAAACCCTACAACCCTAAAACCCTAAAACCAGAAAGCCTCCGTGTGGCGGAACTCGAATCCCGAAGCCAACAACAAATGGGCTTATGCCTGTGGGGTGTGGAGTCTGGGGTTTAGGGTTTAGGGATTTAGGGTTCAGGGTTTAGGGTTTAGGGTAAAGTTCAGGGCTTTCCTTAATCACTTCATCTGTGCCGTGAAGTCTGCCTGTGGCGCATCAAAAGCTACGAAACTAGCATGTTAGGACGCAGGATTTCCGGTTGGGCTCTCTTTGAAAAGCCTTTAGAAAAGCAAACACCCGCCCTGTGAAAACAGTAAGCTATGGCATCCACAACTATTCCTTAATTGGACTGTAGTGAATGTGGAGTTGTTGGTAGGGGCTTGGGTTTAGGGCTCTGCAGTAGAACTTCGAGCCTTGGCAGAGCCGTGACACCCTGCACAAAAACCCTCTTCTTTGCCTGTGTCTGGTGCAGCTGCTGTACGGGGTCCCGCGACTGGCTCGGCACCGGATGCGTTTCCTTGGTTCGAGTGTTCTGTGGTGAAGGGCGTGGATTTCGGGGTTTCTGGGAGACCCTCTTTTGCATCGCCTTGGTTCTTAACGCCCCCGTAAACCCGAAACCCTAAAACCCCCAAACCCTATAAACCCCCAAACCCCCAAACCCTAAACCCTAAACCCTAAACCCTACAAACCCTAAACCCCCAAATTTAAAGCAAAGAAAGGAGCTTCACTCAACCTGAAAGTGCCCGAACGGTGGTAAGCCAGGGCACTCTCGGAAGCCACGGCCTAAGCACGTTTAGGGTTTAGGGTTTAGGGTTTATAGGGTTTATAGGGCTTATAGGGTTTATAGGGTTTAGGGTTTAGGGTTTAGGGTTCAGCCTTGCAGCAGGCTGGCAGTAATCCTGGCCAAAGCCTTCGGTAGT